GCAGTTGGCCGGCCGACCTCCTGCAGTTCCTCCCCATAGCCGGCCAACCTCCCAAGCCCCCCACCCTCACACCCATCATCCCTGATCACTGGCCAGGCCAAGGGACCCCATCTGTGCACAAATTTGTGCACTGGGGCTTTAGTCCCAAAATAAAGCTCCAGGTAAACTCATCTATGTCCATCAGCTCATCAACTCTTTTTTTTTTTTTAAGTTTCAGAGAGAGGAAGGGAGAGATAGAAACATCAGTGATGAGAGAGAATCATTGATTGGCTACCTCCTGCACGCCACACACTGGTGATCGAGTCCACAACCTGGGTACGGGGCCCAGACCAGGGATGGAACTGTGACCTTCTGGTTCATAGGTCAGTGCTCCACCACTGAGCCATGCTGGCCAGGCTGCCTTTTCTGACTGACACTCAGGAAGAATTGTAAAGCTGCTTGTGTGTGGAATGTCCCTGGGTTCGGGCTCGCTGGTATTTCCTCACAATTGGATTCAGACTGTGTTTTTGGCAGAACAGCACGGCACATCCCTCCCGAGGCACGTGGTGTCAGTTTCCCCTTAGGAGCGCCATTAACTTTGATCACTTGGTATTTTCCCTTTGTAATTAGTAAGTGATCTGTGGGGAGGTATTCTGAGGCTGTGCATGGATATCCGTATTTATTCCCACCCAGCGGTTTGACATGTATTGGGTATCTGTTGATCCAGCATGTGAGGGCCTGGGCTTCCGGTCGGGGTCTTCCCACGCTCCTTGGGAAGTTCAGTTGCAGTCAGTACCTTGATTGGCATTTAGGTAAACTGCAGCGTTTGCCATTGGAAAACTTACATTGATTCTTACCTGAGGTTTTATTCCATTTGGGACAGAAATGCTCTTCCTGGGTTTAAAGTCTGAAAGGCTAGTTCCATTTATTCATTTGTTGCGTGCTTATTGTACGCCATTGTTATCCCAGGTGCCGGGGATAAAATGATAAAAAATTGGAAGTTAGACAAAATGACATTTCTGTCTCCTGGAAGGTACATTATAACGGGGAATCAGACAGTCTGTGTCTCTTATCAGGTGGTGGTGAGTGAGGAGACAGTGATGAGCTAAGGGTGCTGCTCTAGCCAGGGCTGCCCAAGCTCGCTGGCCCCCGGGGCAGAGACCCCGGTGATGAGGCCTAGAAATTCGCACACGCCTGGTGTGATTTAGCGGGAGGAGATGGGTTTGGCCGGAGCAGAGATCAGCGACGGGGGTACATGAGTTTGGGAGAGGACCTGGCATGATGATGGAGGGCCGTGCTGACCATGATCGGGATCCAGCAGACAGTCCAGGTCTGAGGAGGTCAGGCCCTCAGGAGGATACGAGCTCAGCCAGCCCCTCCCCTGACGCCAGCATGTGAGGGCCAGGCTTCCGGTGGCCTGTGTGAGGCTGGCCCCCAGGTGGCTGGCTCCGAGGGCCCTGATACACAGGCCGGAGTTCCTGCCCCGGGGCGGGGGGGGGGCGCGGGTGTGTGTGTGTGTGTGGGGGGTGTCCCAGGAGGTGCCTGTTTCCCAGCATGCTGGGTGGTTGGGCGGTCTTTGACAAGCCTTGGCAGACCGGGGCATGCTCCGGGGGGCCCAGCGCTTTCTGATGTGCAGCAGCCGGGGAGCCCCAGACTGTGAGCACAGGGCTGCGTGTCCATTGCCAAGAGGCTAGGCTGTTCTCCAACATCAGTTCTGCCTTTGTCCCCGCCCACCTCCCCCACGCAGAGGGAGCACCATGCCTCGTGGTTTTCCTCCCCCGGCCCAGCACAGGAAACTGGAATAACTGAACCCAAGAGAGAGGGCTGGCATTGGGGGCCCTTTCCTGTTGTGGGAGGGCACTCTCTGAATGCTCTCATCTGCTCACTGAGTCTCACAACAACCCAAGGTTACTTAGCTGTCAAGTGCAGTCGGGATTTGAACCCGGGCTGATGGCTGCCGGAACCTGTTTTCTCCACCAGCCGCACTGCAGACAGCATGGATTATTCCCCAGAGCCCACTGCCGGGGCCCTGTGGTGCCATCCCGCCTATTTCAGACAGTCCTCTTCAGCTCTTGGCCTGTTGACCTCTGGCCTTGACCTTGGGCTGCTAGAGGCGTGAGAGTTGAAATATAGTGGCAACCCATACTTTGGTAAAAACTGCTCTTTGAATTTTAACCCTTCTAGTTTGGCTCTTGCACCTGATTAAACATGGGGTGGGGGTGGGGGGAAGCTATTTACCTTAGCTTTCAGGTGAAGACTTGGAGGCTAAGGCAGTTTTCCCTTGCCTGGGACCAGGAGCACAGGAGAGTAATTCCCACTAACTCAGTGACCTTCAGAGATAGAGACTATAGATAACCTCTGAGCTCTCCTTCTGTGTTATCAGCTATCGCAGGATAGGGCCACATTCCAATGTCCAGCAGGATGTGACTAGCGACGACCCTGCTGGGCTGACCCCAGTCTTTAGAATGTAGTCTTTAAGATTTAGAATTTAGAGCAAAGGAAAAGTCCTGTGGTTTGAACCTTTAAAAGGGGCTGCCTACCCCTGAAGCAGTGCAATCGTGTGGAGACCACCTGCGTGTGGTGCTCTCGCATCTTTCCCGGCCAGATATTTCAATACATCTTTGCCTGCTTTTTAATCACTCATTAGCCTCCGGTGGTCTTATTCTGAACCCAGGGTGCGACCCCACAACAGGAGTGAGAAGCACTGAACAGCCTTGCTGACGCCTACCTCCGGGGTCCAGTGCAAATTCCCAGGATGTAGAGTGCTATTCACTGAGCATCCCGGCGGTCCAGGGGACACGTGCTGTTTACTGCGAGCTACCCTGTGGGGCAGGTTTAAGAGCCCCTTTAACAGGCGAGGAAACGGAGACTGGGAGTTAAATTACACGCCCAGCCCGTGGCGCGGCCAGCAAGCGGAGAGCCACGTGCCAGCTCGGGTCCCGCGTCTCTGTGCCTGCCTTCTCCGGCGTCGAGCTGACGTATAATAATAAGGGGCTTTGGTCCTCACCAGAGGTCAAGTGCTTGGGTAGCCCTGTGGGCGCCTCTCTGGGCTGTTGGGAGACAGTTGTAGGCTTTCAGTAGGAGTTGAAAGAGCACCGACTGTAGGGAGAGCAGGCCGGTGCCAGCTTGCTCTGCCACACCTCACAGTGTGCTGGGGGGCTAGTCTGGGATCCCATCAGCACTTCCGCTTTCCATGAGATGGGGGTCAAAATCACCACCGTTCTCGGACCAGGTACGAGTGGAAGCTGGGTCACGGGTGTGCAGGCGAGTGTGAGAGTTTGCGGCGTGCCCAGTGCGCCTGCAGGGCTCCTCTCAGCGGCCCGGGATGGCACAGCGGAACCAGAGTAAGGGCCAGGGAGGCCGTGGGTCTTTTGAGAAACAGCCCATCGAAGTTAAACCCCATTGTCCTTTCCTGCCCTTAACATCTTTTGTTGAACCGCCATCTACAGGGGTGGGCAGAGGTAGGTTTACAGCTGTTCGTATGGAAAAAGACAAATAATACAAGTAAGTAACACAATAACTCATAACACAGTGTACATGTTCTGTACCCAAAGCTACACTGTGTTCTAGTAAAAAGCCTGCTCAGGTTGGCCAGAGTCAGAGAGGCAGTCTATTAAAAAAAAAGAACTGGTGTTGCCTCGGAAGTGGGGGGTAGTCTTATGCAGCAAAGATAGGCCTAAACCTATGTTTTAACTGTAAAAATTAGGGGGTCGTTTATACGCCGGAAAACATGGTAGGAATACACCGTACACCTACTTTTGTCCACCCCTGTGTAAATGTTAGAGTAGTGACAACAGGTATAGCAGATGTTATTAGAAATAGAGAAAGGGCCAAAACTTGTTTGGCTCAGTGGATAGAGCGTCAGCCTTCGGACTGAAGGGTCCCGGGTTCGATTCCGGTCAAGGGCATGTGCCTTGGTTGCAGGCACATCCCCAGTAGGGGGTGTGCAAGAGGCAGCTGATCGATGATTCTCATGGATGTTTCTAACTATCTCTCTCTCTTCCTCTCTGTAAAAAATCAATAAAAAATATATTTAAAAAAGAAATAGAGAAAGGGACTTCGCCGAAGCCAGGCGATACTGGAAGGGAACTCTAGGCGAGAGCTCCTTGCGGGAAAAACATGGTTCTCGCCTGTGGCAGTCTTATCTGGGGACATGCGGCAATGCCTGGAGACATGCTTGGTGGTCACGAGTGGAGAGAGTTTTAGTTTGAGCACCCTGCAATGCACCGAGAGCCACGGCAGAGAATCAGAGGCCAGAATGATGGCATTCTAATCCAGGTCGAGAACCCAGGATTAGAGGTAGCCAGCATGCCCTGGCCGGCCGGAGCCTCGCCCTGTGGATTGGAAGGTCGAGGGTTTTGTTCCCAGTCGGGGCACATATGGGAGGTAGCCAATTGCTGTAACTCCCCACCCCCTTCTCTTCCTCTGTCCCTCTGTCCTCTCTCTCCCTTTTGATCCTCTCCAAAATAAGAAAATAAATAAAGTAGTCAGTAAATATTTACTGTGTATCAGACATTGTTCTCAGTGCTTCATCGGTATTGCCTCGCTTAATCCTCCCAATCCTAGGACATAGGGGCTATTGTTCTCAGGTGGAGGCTTAGGGGCAGGGGAGAGTTCAAGTAAACAGACTGGCATCCGGGTCCCAAGGAAGGAGCAGGACAGCCAGGACTTGAATCCGGCCAGCTTCTGGGCCTGTGCCCTTGACCACAATGCTGTCCCGCACTGCTGGGCGTTCAGAGGACCGCTCGGCTTTGAACCAGATGTTCAGCTTCAGGCCCAGAAACCCACATCGTAGGAACTGGTATGTGAGCAGAGGGCAAGGCTGAGGAGTAGGTGATGAGTTTCCCAGATTCTAAGTGTGGCCCAGCTTATGAATTTAGTGGCACAAGGTGACCAGATCACAGGTGACTGGAGCCTCAGAGGCAGGCCGAGGTCGTCCCCTTGCCATGGTGGGGACCAGAGTGTGGCTCAGCTGTGCCGAGGGGACTGACTGCAGTCCGGGCTGTGTTCTGTCGTTGCAGATGTAAAGACGACCGTGGTTTACCCGGCCACAGAGAAGCACCTGCAGAAGTACCTGCGCCAGGACCTCCACCTGGTTCGAGAGACGGGACGGGACTACAAGAACGTCACCTTGCCCCACCTGGAGTCCCAGAGCCTCAGCATCCAGGTGACTTGTTCTGGCCCGGAGGGGTCAGGCGTGCAGTGCTGTCCCAGTGGCTAGCGTGTCTTTCTCATGCATCTGCCGAGGTCTTACCAGGAGCCAGCGCTGGTCCGCAACACAGGCCGTGGGGCTCCCTGCCTCCCCGAGCTTACGTCCTCGCGCAGGAGACAGCACGCAGAGACGTAAATGGCCACAGGAGGTGCGCGGTCACGAGTGCTGTGGAGAAAAGTCAGCAGGAAAGTGGCACAGGCCCAGCCGGCCGGTGTGGCTCAGTGGCGCGTTCATCTATGAACCAGGAGGTCACGGTTCCATTCCCAGTCGGGGGCACATGCTCGGGTTTCTGGCTTGATCCCCAGTAGGGGGCGTTGAGGAGGCAGGTGATCAATGATTCTCTCTCATTATTGATGCTTCTCTCTCTCCCTTTCCCTTCCTCTCTGAAATCAATAAAAATATAGTTACCCAAAAATAAAGTCTTGGAAAAAAAGGAGTGGCATAAAAAGTCCTCGGGTGAGGTGGCCACTGTTTTCCAAGGCTAGTCATTGATAGGGGAGCTGAGCCGGGTCCCAGCAGGCCCCTGAGGCCCTGGGGGTCCCAGCCTAGTCCATTGGAGAGTCTGTGCCGCCTCTGCAGCAGCCCTGATGGAGTCTGAGTGGCTGTGCCCTCCCAGGTAACTGAACGGGCAGAGACTGCTGCCTCATTGGGCCTTTAATCCTGGTTTTGAGCAAACCAGCCTCCCAAAGCCGAATCTTAGAGTAAAGAACTTCCCCGTGGCCACTTTGCCCTCATATCCATTCCCCAGGGGCAAGACCTGCTGTTGGGGAGGTGGGGGGCGGGAGGGTGCGGGCTTAGTGCAGGCCTTTACCCATGGGCTTGGCGGCGTTCTCTGAGTGTCTTTGGCGACTGGACCAGACGCCAGGCCATTTAGCTAAGAGACCCCGATTTCTCCTTGGCGTGGACCCAGCGCCAACCAGCACGTCTGCCTGGAATTGGCCCCGAGTGAATGCTCTGCGTTAAGGATGACGGATGAGTTGTTTTCTTGCTCTCTCACTGGCTCTGTCTCCAAGTCTTCATCACTCACCCTTGTTCCCTTTGAGCATGTCGCACCACTCTCCGAGGTTCAGGTTACAGAGGTGGGGGCGTTCCAGTATGGGAGACTCACAGCCATTTCTCCCAGGGCCAGAGAAGTGGGTGTCCCAGCTGGAGGGGCAGCGCAGGGGGGGTGTACGCAGGAGGAAGACCGAGAGGAGGGTCGGCTGGCTGGGCGGGAGGCCCGATGTGCCCAGCCTGGCTGTTAGCCACGCCCAGCCTGGCTGTTAGCCACGGTTCCCGGTGCCGTATTGGCACAGGGTTCCACTGGCATGATGTTTTAAGTCCCAGCACTTGCTCTGTCTTCCAAGTGGGAAAGAGATGCTCCATCTTCCTAGGTAGCGTCTGCTGTCAGGATCCTAGAGGGATCCCCTGGAATATGTGTCCTCTGTGCTGATTGCACATCCATGGGATTCAAGAGAGGAAACCCTGTGAGTCAGATGTACCTTCTTAGGCACCATTATTCAGATCCTTTTATAAAATAACACAGTACAATTCCACTACTCTACCGACTTCTGTTGGACACTTGCGCTCACTTGTGTATTCTTTCGTGGCTGTTTCTAGCAAGTTTACAAGCACGAAGCTCACCTGGCGACAGCTATCATATTCACTGAGCATCTGCCCTCTGCCAGGCCCTGTGCTCGGCTCAGGAGGGTCACCCTACAGTGCCCCATAGTCTGATGGGAAGAGGGACATGTGATCTGACCATATGATGAGACCAGCACTTTGGTGGTTTATGTATGAGGTGCAGTGGTGACATGGGGAGTGATTAGCTCAGACAGTGGGGGCTTCACAGAGGAGGGGACCCTCCCGCTGGCTCCTAGGGGACAAGCAGAAGTTCCCCAAGGCGGAGAGGGCATTCCACAGACGGCACAAGAAGGCCAGCAGGGGCAGGGGGAGGCACTCTGTCCAGTTCCCACACCTTGTTCATCATCAGGGCGGCCTGGTGAGATGTTTAAAAATACAGAACCTAAGTCCATATCTGCTGAACCAGACATTCAGGGCGTGGAACGGGGAAATCTGTGTTTTAAAAGCTCTCTGATTCCGCTGCTCATCAGATCTGAGAACGCTTGCCATAGCCAGGGAGGGTTCCCTGAGCAGTTTAATCACGTGTGAGGTGAGCCTGGTGAGGGGGGAGAGCAGGAGGGCCAGAGCCCAGCATGGGTCTGAGGAGGCGGAGGCAGCGGTGAAGGTTGCCGTAGCGACTGGAGAAGGAGGGCGTAAAAACTGGTGATGAGGAGAATTGAGGGAAGAGCCTGGGATGGTCCAGGTCTCGCCTGAGCCATGAGGGGACAGAGAGTAGGATAGTTCACCAGGATGGGAGACATGGACAGCAGAGAGGGTTAATGGGAAGACCGTGAGTTCAGTTCTCACCTCAAAACATCTCCACGACAGCCCTTCGGAGACGGAATTCTCAGCCAGGTGGCCTGCCCCAGCCTCTGTGCTCTTAGCAGACTACCCTGCTTGGCTCCTCACATTCGGCGCCTGTAACTTCTAGTGAAAATGCCCGGGAAAAAGGCAGCGGGATGTGTGACTCAGCGCAGGAGGGATGCTCAGGCTGAAGCCAGAGGCTGAGTCACTGAGTTGAGGCTTCAACGTTATCTGGGTCTGGCTCTGCCCGGCACGACACTCCTTCACTTCAGAAGCCCCGTTTCCTTGTCGGAACATGACTCCAGTCCGGGTGGACATGGAGAGAGGTGCCACGTATTATCACATGTTTGCTGTGTTTCCTGCCCAGAAAAGGCGCCAGAGTGGCAGCTGCCTTTCTGCATGCACAGGGGACAGTTCTAGGGGACAGGATGGGACAGTGCAGAGCTGAGATGCCTGCAGGTAAAGGGGCCAGAGCAGGGGCCAGCAGGGCTGAGCAGAGAAGTAGGAGCATGGGGAGGAAACGGGATGCCCCAAGGAGGAGAGGGCCCGGGGGAGTGGGCAGTGTCACTGCTGGACCATGCCAAGTGCATTTCTGTGCCGCTCACAGGCCCTCATCACCGGGTGGCCATCTCCCTGCCTTTCCTTCAGAAAGCAGCTACTCCCCATACAGAGCCCCTTGGGGATGAGGGGATCCTGTATCCTGATTTTCTCTTTCTCATCTGGGTCCTGGCTGAGACGCATGGATTGAGGCCCCTCCCACTCTCCCAGAGACCTTTCCCACGGAGCCTGAAGCTCGGGCTCCGAGACCAGGCTCTGGCTTAGAATTGTGTGAACTTCCTTGCCCTGCCTTTCCCTTACCTGCCAAGTGGGGTGCTCACAGCCCCGAATTCCCAGGATTGCTGTGAGGACAACCCGTGAGGCACTGGAGCAGGGCCTGGCAGGGCGTAAGACTACGCTCCTCACCCCCTGCCTGGTGTCGCCACTCCATCCTCCCACCTGCATCAGTCTTGCCCTTCGGTCAGCACTGTTTCTCTTCCCCTCCTTCCCTTTCCCCATTCAGGCTTGTCGCCTCCGCCTACCAAACTCAGTTCAAATTAGGCTGCTAGGGTGACATCCCGGATTCCATTCCTGGAATAGGTGTCACTCACTCTCTGCATCTCTTAGGCAGGAAAGGGAGGAGGGTCCAAGTTTGTTACTGAGACTTGTTTCTTAATTCACAGCTTAAAAATGAGTTCCCCAAAGGCCCCCCAGACCTCTCCCGGGTGGCCAGTCTTCTCGGGAAGGGAGGCTTTTTTCTCTGTGGTGGGTGGCCCACCTGTGACCTGGCTGTGGGTCCTACCAGGAGGCTGGGTAGCCCAGCTCGTCCCAGGCAGGCCCCCTCTGCTCCTGAGCTCTCTTTCCCAGAAAGCTGCACTTGACCTTGGCCGTGCTGGCTAGGAGCTGACAGCCAAGGATGCAGATTCCTGGGATGAGGTGTGCAGACCCTAAACCAGCCTCTGCCCCTGCTTTTGCTGACACAGCCCTTCACGGGTGTTGGTGTCAGGGCCCTGGCCTCCTACTTCACCCCTGCATGTGTGTGGAGGCCGTGATGACAAGCGGAGGGGCAGCGGTGTGAGCCAGACCTCTGGCTGGCTTTCCAGCAGGGTCTATGGTTCTGGCATGGAGTGCACTGTCCTGGGAGGAAGTCTCTCTTGCAAAGGCTGCTCGGAGCTGGGGAAAGTGGAGAAATGCGGAGTCTGTGGTCTGGGGTGTTTGAGCCCTGTGAGAACAGGCCTTATCTTAACCTCCTGGCAGGGAGCTTCTTCAGAGAGGCCATCAGGGCCTTGATTGTAAACTGATGTCCTTGGGACCCACACTGTGCCCGAGGATGGACTCCCTAAGACTCAGCAGCAGCAGCAGCAGACGCAAGGGGTGTGGGAGGGCCAGAGCTGTGGGTAGATAAGAGAATCATGGATTGGCTCGTCCTGCATACTCCTTACTGGGGATCGAGCCCCCACTGGGAATCGAACTGTGACCTCTTGGTTTATAGGTCAATGCGCAACCACTGAGCCACACTGGCCAGGCCAGGTCTGCTTTGTTACACAGGGACCACGTCAGCGGGAACTGCTGTGGCTCCAGGTGGGCGGCCACTCTGAGGATCCCACACCTTATCTAGAACCTGCCCTGGCATGGAGCCAGCTTCCTGTGCAGAGGGAACCCCCAACCTGATGGTTTGCTGAGGTCCTCAGCGATGTGGGAGGGGCCCGTGGAGAGGCTCTCCCCTGGTCCCCAGGCCTGTGTGGCCCCAGCAGCGTATGCACACTCCTGACCTGAAGAGCCTACCGGGCCAGCGCCCTCTGCCCCGCGGGGCCTTGTGAGGTGGCTGGTGACCGAGTGTCCGCAGGGGGACGGGGCAGCCTGAGTGCGGATGCCCTGAGCCCCGGGGCTGTCCTCGTGGAGGGGCCAGAGAGCTTCCTGAGCCCAGCCTGGGAATGAACCCTCTCTCCCTCCACTGCCAGTGGGTGTACAACATCCTCGACAAGAAGGCGGAAGCCGACCGGATTGTTTTTGAGAACCCGGATCCCTCTGACGGCTTTGTCCTCATCCCCGACCTCAAGTGGAACCAGCAGCAGGTAAGAGAGTTCCTGCTGGGCCTCTCTGCCCTCGGCATCCTGCGCCGGGTCGGGTGGCTGACCCACCGTAATCTTACCTTAAGCCCCCTTCTTTCCCAAGCTGGTCTCGCACTCTCTAAGCAGATTGTCCTTAACCAACAGGGAGAGGTCTGAACTCCGCACGCTACTGCATACCTGTCATTCAGAGTGTTTATGCTTCAGTGGGCACACTTTATTCACTTTATTTTTATTTATTTTTTAAATATATATTTTATTGATTTTTTTTTTTTTTTTAACAGAGAGGAAGGGAGAGGGATACAGAGTTAGAAACATCGATGGGAGAGAAGCATTGATCAAGCTGCCTCCTACTGGGGATGTGCCTGCAACCAGGGTACATGCCCTTGACTGGAATCGAACCCGGGACCTGGCAGTCCGCAGGCCGATGCTCTATCCACTGAGCCAAACTGGTTAGGGCTCAGTGGACACTTTAAAGCCCTCTCTGTCTCCTCCAGTCCCCATTCCCCAGCGGGTCTGTGTGTGGTTGTGGCGGGGGGAGGCGGACTGAGGCGATGTATAACCACACGGGCTGCTCCTTAACCCGCCAAGTGGCTTGGGTGGCCACTCTCACTTTCTGCAGCCCCTGTGCCAGCCTGTTCGCTTTTCTTCGTCTCCCTAGACACTGGCAGGCCGAGGCCGGCCCCCGGTCTAAAGCGGTGATGGGCAGCAGTCACGGTGAGCCGCCTGTGGCCGCCCCTGCGCCGCCCTGGTTCCAGAGGGGGTCCCGGCAGCCCCTTCTCACCTGAGCCTCTCCATGGTGCTTCCTGGTCGCCACGTGCCTGCTGCTGTTCTACCCCCAAAGGAGCAGGCTTCTGGGGAGCCACCTTCTCTCTGTCCCTCCCAGTTCTCTGAAACCTCTCTGTTTCTCCACCTTCCCTCCTCCCACCCTCACTCCCCTGCACCTGCCCATTGCAGACACTGTGTACCAGCCCCCCCCGGGGGGCCTACATGCCCTGCCCTTAAAGAACAGGAGACAGTGGCCTCCGCAGCCTTCTTAGGGCTGGACTCGGCCCACGGCAGGTCGGGGCCAGGAGAAGGCCCTGGAGGCCAGAGGTGCAATCACCCGCTAGGAAGTGGGGAGTAGATAGATGTCCCCCTCTAACTGGACTCCGTGGGTTTCCGTTCTGCTTTTGGGTGGGCCCTGCTGGTTTCTCCGCTGCTCTGGCAATCATAGGACCTGCAGAGGCATCCGTCAGGGGGCTGGGCCCTGCCCGCCTCGCCCTCCTCGGCTGGGACGCCTCCCCCTTCTTTCCCGGCCTGGGCCTGCTCTCGGGGTCTTTGGATCCTTACTGGGCTCCCCGGCAGCCTGCTTGGTCTTGATTGGGTGATTTCTGGACCTGCCGTGCCCCCTTCGCTGCCAGACATGGGGGCTGGGAGCCCAGGGCTGGGCACCGGGCCAGCCTCGCGGCTCAGGCGCACAGGCTCGTGAGCGCCAGCTGCCTTACCAGCCTGTGGGGCTTCCTGAACATGGCTCGGGTGGTAGGAAATGAAGGGAGTTTCCAGGAGTTGGAGAGCTAAGCAAGAGCAGAGTGTGGGGTGCAGTAGTGGAGAGAGACGGCCCCATCTTACCATCCCCTGCAGCTCAGCCCCACCTCAAGCCTCCACAGAGGCAGCCAGAACTGGCCCTGGAATGGGGGAGCTGGGACAGGCTCTGGGGATGCTGGTGGCAGTTGTGGGCGATGCCTTGTGCGAACCCCATCTGCCCCCTTGGCAGCCCTGTGCCTGGAGGTCCTGGGTTGCAGCCTGGTCATGGGAAGTGGGGGTGGGGTGGGAGGAACTCCTGACTCACAAGGTCTGAGCTTGTGATTGCAGCGGGGGTGGCCTGAGGGGCAACAGGAGACAGACTTGTGCGTCTTCATTCTAGAAGCCCACGCACTGAGAAGGCCAGCAGGGCCGCCCTCTCTGTTCCTTTAAGACAGAGAGGCTCCAGGAACTGCACAGGCATCCAGCCGCAGGTCTGGACTGGTCCTCCGCGACTGAGGATGCGCACGCTGAATGTCAGGCTCTTGCCCTGGCCCGTGGGGCTCAGTTGAGTGAGCGTCATTCCGTGCACCAAAAGGTCACTGGTTCAGGTCATGGCAGCTACCCAGATTTCAGTCTCTGGTTGGGATGCATGTGGGAGGCAACTGAGCTCTCGCTCTCTCTCTCTCTGTCTCTCTCTCTTTCTCTGCCTCCCTCCCTTCCTCCCTCCCTCTCTCTCTTTCTTTCTCCCCCCCTTCTTTCCCCCTTTTCCTCCCTCCCTCTGCCTTTCTCTCTTTAAAATGTTTTTTTTTTAAGTCAGACTTTCCTTGATGGTAATATAGGTGCCATTGTTCTTAACCTTTGCTTAATTAGCACTGTCTCTTGGTAGTGCCATATGTCACTGTGACAGAACCTGACAATTAGGCGGTATACCCAGCAGGGAGACGGCGGGCTGGGCTTCACCTCTTCCTCCCTGGGCAGGGGTGGAGGAGAACGCGCACCTGCATTTTCTCCGGGGAGGCTTTCTGCTCGCCTGGAACCTCCCGCTGCTCTTTCTCCCAGGAAGGTGTCTTTACATACAGGGTGTCCCCAAAAACCTGTAATAATTATGAAGGCAGTGCTTATTACATTACACTAAATGTATTAAAATACACTTCATTTTCAAAATGCAGTAGAACTCAGCTGTGTGTGCATTTTTTTTTTGCGGGGGGGGGGGGGGGATACCCTGTATTTATGTTAATGACTCGGGATTAATTAGCAAGACTCTGTGTCCATATGTCCATCCATCCGTGCCACGAATACCTGCCACGCCCCTAATGTGTGCCAGACCTCTGCCTTCCTGGAGGTTACACACCCCTCCCTCGGTTCTCTTAAGAGATCGCCTGCGTGTTTTATTTGCTTATTCGTTGCAGGTCTGGTTCGTACCTGCACAGGGTAAACGTGCACACAGCCCAAGGTGTGCAGGGAGAATAGGTTGTCACCCAGCTTCCTCCACTTCCCTTCCCCTGGAGAGATCATTTCTTTGTCCTTCCAGAGAGCCTTTCCCTGTTGTACGTAGGAGCATGTGTGTGTGTGTTTATGGAGACACACGTGCACTTTCAGGTCATGTGACCTCGGTTCTCTGGTCTAAGTTCTCAGCACAGGACACTGCCCTTCGGGTCACCCCGAGGCTGAGGGATGGCTCGCCCTCCGAAGCTCCGGCCAATCGCATTCTCACCCCTCAGCCTGAGCCAGGAAGCTGCCCCTCCGAGTCTTCCGTCCTCCCTTGTAAAACGAGATTGATGGTGTCTTCTCCCAGGCTGCCTTCTGGGCCACCCCCTGGGGTGCCAGCCGGCCCCTTGTCTGGCCTCTTCCAGAGAGTTTCTCTGAGCCAGAGGCCCGTTGGCTGCAGAACATCTGAAGTAACGTCTGATATCAGAGGATGGCGTTCTCTTCCCTTCCACACCCCGCCCTGAGCTGACGCCCAGCGCCAGGCCGCCCACCTCGGTCCACGTCAGGGGAGCAGGGGGGTGCGACTGAGGGTCATGTTTGCATGGCCATCAGGCGGCATTAAAACAAAGGCTCCTATTCTTCGGGAGTCCTGTGATAGTGACACCCACCGACACACCCATGCCTCGAGTTTAAGACGTTTTTTTTTTTCCTGGCTTCTCCCGGGGCCTCCACCTCATGAGAGAGTAAACGTCCTGGACGCGTGTCCTGGTAAAGGAGAGCACCGAAGGCGCTTGTGGGCAAGGGAGCCCGGTTGGCACAGCTCTGTCGTCTGCCAGAGGCTCCCACGGGCCCGTGTGCAGCAGGCCTGGGGCAGGTTGCCCAGAGGCTGGAGCCCTGGCAGCAGAGAGCATCTGGGACGGGAGGGGACCGCTGGCAGGAAGAGGCACATGGACATCAGGTGCCACATGGAAAACCTCATTCCCGCTTTTCCGGTCCCCAGACTATCTCGTGGAGGAATCCGGCAGCTCAGACGCAGGGCTGAGTGCTGCTGGAGTTGCCCCAGGCCTTCTTTCCCCCCTCCCCCCCCCCCGGAGCCCAGGAGGCTGGGCCTGCCTCACACGCAGGCACAGGAATAGATAGCCAAGTCCAGCGGGCCGGGGAGGGGTTGGGTGGGGACAGATTCTGGGCCAGAGGCGTTCATTTCTGTCATGGGCACCATCTTGTCGACTTTGGCTCTTTGCAGCGTGGTGACCTCCAGGTTTGGGCCAGGTGCAGTTCTCAGAAAGGGCAGTGGGAAGGGCTGCTGGGGGCCGGGGAGGTGGGGGGGAGAGAGGAGAAGGTCAGTGCGGCTCTGGTGGCGCCCCTGCCGAACCGGTCCCGGCTCCCTTTTCCGCCTTCACACCCCTTCACCGCCTTAGATTCCCGGCAGATCAGGTTATTTCCTCTGCCCTCAGCTCTACGCTTTCCTGCCTCCGAGCCTTTGCTCTCACTGTTCCCTCTCCCCGAAGGCCGCTCCAGTAAGCCCACCTCTTCAAGACTCCGATCCCGCCGCCTCCTCCAGGAAGCCTCTCCGGATGGCCCCAGCTGGTCTTCCTTCTCCCAGTCCTTCTGTCCACCTCGTGTCTGAGGAGTTACTTGTGTCCATGCGATTAGACCATGAACTCTTCGGGGGAGAGTTGTCCTTGGCCCTTGAGCCCCATCAGCTCCGAGTTTAGGATATGCCTTTGCAGGAGGAATGGACAGAAGTTGCGTTCCTTAGGCCGTCCACTCCCTGGGCTCGTGGACTCCCACATCGCTGGGCATCAGTCCTGCTGTGGGGTCCCTGGGGCGGGCTGTGGCTGGCACCGCAGGCCAGGGGGTGGGCGCCTGCTGGCTTCGCTGGGCAGTTCCCGGCTCTGCCACCCGCTGAGCCCGCTGTCCTCCCGCTCCCTGCAGCTGGATGACCTGTACCTGATCGCCATCTGCCACCGCCGGGGCATCAGGTCGATTCGGGACCTCACCGCGGAGCACCTGCCGCTGCTCAGGAACATCCTCCGGGAGGGGCAGGTGAGTTGCCCTGGCAACGCGTCGAAGCCCAGAGGAACCGCCTCTGCCTTCAGCGTGCTCCCTGCACCCTTCCTCGCCCTCCCCAGACGGTGTCTGCGATGGGGGCTTCTTTCTGAGTCAGCGTGGGGCTACACAGGCTCTCTCCAGGCCCTGCCGCCGCCCCTCCTCACCCCCTCTCTCCTCCTCCTGAGTTCCCGCTTTGGCGCCTGCCTTCCCCCCCCAGGCCCAGCCCAGGGTCACCTGTCTGGCCGTGACAGCCGCACACACAGTCACGTTTCTTGTAGCTGGATCGATGGCTCTGAGGTGTGAGTGCAGGAACCGCCTCTAGCCCGCAGACAGAGGCTGTGTTCTCTGACTCCTGGGATTCTGGGTGACAGTTGAGTCGAATGAAATTATGGGGGTGCTGAAAGGAGCCCCGAGGGGAGGGAAGATGGGGGAAGAGAGGCTAGAATCCAGCCAAGAGAGGCTAGAAACATAGCCAGGTTGCGGGTTTGATTCCCAGTGCGGGATATGCAGGAGGCAGCTGACCAATGATTCTCTCTCATCCTTGATGTTTCTCTGCTTCCCTTTCCTCTCTGAAATCCATAAAGATATATATTCAAAAAAAAAAAAAAAAAAAAAAAAAAAGCAAGAGCCTTAGCTTGGCTGTCGCCTGCCTGCTCTGATCCACAGAGGGAGGCAGGGACCTGCAGCACGGTGGGCAGAGGGCTGTGTGTGGGTTTCGTTAATGTCCAAAGGCTGGTCTGGGGTCAGGGCGGGAGGAGGGGCTGGCAGCACGGTGACCCCTTTCCCGCCACTCCGTCTCCCCAGGAAGCCATCCTGCAGCGGTACCGGGTGAGGGGGGACCGCCTCCGCGTGTACCTGCACTACCTGCCCTCCTACTACCACCTGCACGTGCACTTCACCGCTCTGGGCTTCGAGGCGCCCGGCTCGGGCGTGGAGCGGGCCCACCTGCTGGCGGAGGTGATCGAGAACCTGGAGCGCGACCCCGAGCACTACCAGCAGCGAACCCTCACCTTCGCCCTCCGGGCGGACGACCCCCTGCTCAGGCTTCTGCAGGACGCCCAGAAGAGCTGAGCTGAGCTCCCGGACGGTCCGGGGAACACAGATAACGCGGGACCGGGGTGGGGTTTTTTTTTTAGCGCCAAATTAATTTTTATAACTGTGGTTTGTACGGGCTTATTTCTAGTGTGCCAGTAAAGTATCGGTCGCATTTGGCGTGGACTGGCCGTGCCACACCCAGGAGGCGGGCGCTCAGGAAGGTGGGGTGGGCAGACCCCCAGAAAGAGGGTGGGGGGGGGGTGGCTTCAGCTGACCCGGATGGCTGGCAGGCCCGACACCAAATCCTACACACCCCCTCCTGCCGGTTTCCAAAGGGTCCTGCGGACTGAAGGGTCCCAGGTTCTCACTCCCTGTTCTCACTCCCCATTCTCCTGCCACGTCCTCTCCTTCCTGCCGGAGGGACGGTGTTCCTGGGAATGCCCTCAAAGCGGAAAACAAAGGCAAACTTTCTGGGAGTAATCTATAGCCGTTTTTTTGATGGCGCTTCGCTTCCTTCATTCCCAGCATTGAGGTCATGGGGGTGAGTCACGCCTGCTGATAAACTTGTTGACAAGGATGAAGGATCCTGGCCTGGAAGTGGGAGGGTTTTAAAAAGAATCGGGTGATGCGTGCCCAGAACGCCTGCCTTCGTGTCTCTGTTATTTGGTCAGCGAGAGTCCCTGGCCTTGAGTTTATTATCTAGGCAGGAAGACAAAACAAACTTGCTGGAGCAGCCAGAAGATCAAGTACAAAACAGGAGAGCGGGGCAAAGCGATACGGGTGTGGTGGCCCCAGCGGCCCCAGTGGGCTCGGGTCCAAGGAGTGGCCAGCCTCAGAGGCCTGGCCATAGAATCTCGATGCCAGGAAGGGACTTCAGAAGGGACTCCAGGCTGGTGGCCTGTAAGGAGCCAGCAGAGGCTGCCTCCCTGGGCAGGGGGCCCCTGCCACTGCCCCAGCAGAGCAGGGACCGGCATGCATGACAGATGCACACGGCCCTCTTCACAGAAGACAGGTGTGTCAGGGCCGAGGGCTGTGCGTGTCAGTGTCGAGCTGTGGCTGACAGGTCCCGGGTCTTACTCGGGCAGCACTTGGGAGGCAGGTTTTGGGCTTTGCTGGGTGATAAGAGGGAAGTATAAGGCAGAGGTGGGGGTGGCTCTTCCTCTGCGTCCCCTGGACAGAGGACCAGGAGACCTGGCTGCAGAGCCGAGCTCCATTCATTCATTCATTCATTCACTCATTCCTCCGAGGTTTATTGAACATGTGCTATAGGCAAGGCATTGCCGAGATGCTGGTGATAGTGAGCAAATGGTCAGAAGTGTCTCTGGAGCTGACATTGACCCTTAACCTGGGGCGAGACCCAGGGCGGTCTGAGCCTGCATTGTGTGCAGGGGAGGAGGGAGGAGGGTCCGTGACGTAATCTGCTATGTCAGGTGTGACAAAGAAGCTTTATCAGGAACTGTCTGACAGTAGTGTCAGCCAGACAGTATCCTGGGGCTGGGAACACAGAGGGGACTGAGGCAAAGCTCCTGCCCTCTGGCTGGTGGGGCAGACAGGTGAACGCACGGTGACACAGACCACTCACCGAAGCTGCTTTGAAAGCAGGCATGTGGGCGAGTGGGGCATGGATCCTGACAGTCCTCGGCTCCCCGGCCCACGCAGGGCACCTCCAGGGGGACAGTGGATGGGATCAGGCACTGAGGGCGGGGAGGCCGTGGGGCTGCGTTCCCTACCAGGCGGAGATGACAGCAGTGGGACCAAGCCGGCCTGGAAGGGAAGCCGGCTTGTCTTCTCACGTGTCAGAAAAAGGCACGTGGGTGGGTGGGCGGGCTGGAGGGGGGCCTGGAGAGGAGGAGCGGAGGAGACGCCAGCCCAGAGTCCCCTCCTTGCAGAGTGCAGGCTGTGTTTCCTGGAAAGAACAAGTCCTCTCAGCGGGGCCTCATCTGGCTCCCCATGGAGGCTGTCTGCTTGGAAAGACAGATGGACGGACCGGCGGGCGAGTCATCCTGAATGAGAGGAAGACACCGGGGCCTCCCTGGGGCCAGGCCTTCCCTTTCCTGGGTGGGTGGCCCGTGAAGGCCACCCGCCTCTCCAGGCACAACTCCCTGTCTGATGGGTCCATCTCTGCTCCTTCACAGTTTGACTCCGCCACCCGTCACACCTGCACCACGTCTCACCTGGGCGAAGCTTCACATGATTTGGCCTAAAATCTCAGGGTGACCGTGGGAACAGGGAGATCCCTCCAGAAGCATGGCTCAGGGGGTGGGATCAGCCCAGGACAAGACTGGGGAAGGGCAGATCCAGAGGGAGGCCTGGCTTCATTCCTGTCATGCTGGGAGACGGGGCTTGTCTTCCCTGTAGGACCATACCTGCTGTCACCGAGGGCCAGGCTTACTCTCCGCTCCCCAGCTCTACCCCCAGCTCCCGCAATGGGAGTGACCGAGAGCCAAGGGCAGGACAGCCTGCAAGCTGGACACTGCTCCGGGCAAGACAGGAGTCCACCCTCCTGCCTCAGGCCCCCACCTGTGGCCAGGGCCACTGCCCACAAGAAAACTTGATTTTAAAAAAATATATATATTTTATTGACTTTTTACAGAGAGGAAGAGAGAGAGATACAGAGTTGGAAACATCGATGAGAGAGAATCATTGATCAGCTGCCTCCTGCACACTCGCTACTGGGGATGTGCCCACAACCAAGGGACATGCCCTTGACCGGAATCGAACCCGGGACCTTTCAGTCCACAGGCCGACGCTCTATCCACTGAGCCAAACCGGTTTTGGCGAGAAGACTTGCTTTCACTCCATTGAACAGCGGCTCAGGTGTGTGGGGGGCCGTGAAATAGATCCCGCGGACACTCTGAGATACAGCTATTTGCCCTGGTCACCGCCGGAAACCGTTCCTTTGCTGCAATGCCACTTAGCAAAGCCCAACATCCTGCCCCCTGAAAGCTCCCCGAGCAAGACCCCGGATTCCTGAGCCCCAACCTGGCTCCCCAGCCTCCCAGCCCCTCTGACAGCGGGCTGTGTCTTTCCCCTGTGCCGGAGAGAGGACCCTGCGTGTTAAATTGTGTGATTCTGGCGTGGGTGCCTGCATCCCTGCCCCGCTGGAGCAGCGGCAGATGCCACGCTTTCCAGATGAGTCCTGAGGCCTTCCCGCCCCCCCCCCCCCCCCCGCTGGCTGTCAGCCCCGGGCCTTGGCCCACTTTCTCCTGGCTTGGTTGGAGAAGGAAAGGAGCCATTGCTATTGTTCCTTGGCTCCTCTGTTTGCCCAAAAGTTTCCTCACAGAGCAGAATCGCTGAGTGTTCTGTATTCGTTCACATTCCTCCATGAAAGAGGAAAATTACATTTAAGGAGTTGGACATTTCAGCTCCACTTTGCCTGTCTCTGTGGAATACAGATCCCCACACGGAGAAATCAAGAAACAGTGACACAAAGAAAAATGTTTGAAAATGTTGCTCTTGTAATACGTCTATGTCCAAACATTGTCATATATCGGTGTTGTGTCTGAATAGGTTGATGTAGGTCTGCTAACCCTCCTTCTCAGGAAGGACTAAGTCTTTTCTTCAAGTGTACTTTTAAAAAAATTATTGATTTCAGAGAGAGGAAGGGAGAGAAACATCAGTCACATGTATTGCTATATATATATATATTAGAGGCCTGATGCATGAAATTCCTGCATGGTCGTGGGGGGGGGGGGTCCCCTCAGCCCAGCCTGCACCCTCTCCAATCTGGGACATCCCTCTCACAATCCAAGACTGCTGGCTCCCAACTGCTCGCCTGCCTGCCTTCCTGATTGCCCCTAACTGCTTCTGACTGCCAGCCTGATCACCCCCTAACCACTCTCATGTCAGTCTGATAGATGTCTAACTGCTCCCCTGCCAGCCTGTTTGCCCCCAACTTCCCTCCTCTGCTGGCCTGGTCACCCCTAACTCCCCCCGCCCCCCTGCAAGGTTGATCGCCTTTAACTGCCCTCCCTTGCAGGCCTGATGCCTCCCAACCGCCCTCCTCTACTTGTCTAATCACTCACAACTGCCCTCCCTTGTAGTCCTGGCCCCTCCCAACTGCCCTCCCCTGCTGGGCATCTTGTGGTGGCCATCTTGTGTCCACATAGGGGCAGGATCTTTGACCACATGGGGGCAGTCATATTGTGCGTTGGAGTGATGGTCAATCTGCATATTACTCTTTTATTAGATAGGCTAGAGGCCTGGTGTGTGTGGGGGGGGTGGGGGTAGCTGGTTGCCCTGAAGGGTGTCCCGGGTCAGGGTGAGGGTTCCCTTGAGGTGTGGGATGGCCTGAGTAAGGGGCCTATGGTGGTTTGCAGGCAGGCCACGCCCCCCTGGCAACCCAAGCAGAGGCCCTAGTATCTGGAATTTATTTACCTTCTACAATTGAAACTTTGTAGCCTGGAGCGTAGTCAAGCCTCTTGCTTGCTCCAAGGCATCAACTGTTTCTTGTTTACCTTCTATAATTGAAACTTTGTAGCCTGGAGTGGAGGCTTAGGCCTATTAGGGCAAGCGGAAAGCTTGGCTTCTTCCATTGCCAGAGAAACCCAAGCCTCTGTGGCCACAGCCATCTTGGTTGGGGTTAATTTGTGTATGCACTCTGATTGGCTTATGGGCATGGCTTGTGGAGTGGAGTGGTGGTTAATTTGCATATTACTCTTTTATTAGATAGGATACACACACACACACACATACACACACACAGAGTGGCCAGATTATTATGGGTTCAGAGATCATAATAATCTGGCCACTCAGTGTATTTACTTTTCCTCCCACCTGCTAAATTCTTCTAGCTGGGTAAATAATCAAATTAGAGAGGTTAATAGTAGAAAATCACATTTCAATACATATACCTGGATTATGACTACTTTGGGCAAAGGAGAAAAGGTGGGTATTGAGGTCTTAGATTTCAGAAGTGAGAATGGGCAGTTTGACAGGTTGTTGAGAAAGAGCTGGACACACGCAGGCATGCACGCACTGGGCAGGCAAACTCTCCTAGGCAACTCAAAAACAATGGGATCCAGGCCCCTCCTCCC